AAAAAAAAAAAAAAAAAGAAAGAAAAGCATAATCTACTTATCATAAAGTCTCTTAAATTTGAAATACCTGGGGCAAAAGGCTAAAGGAAGTCTTTTCCACATCATTTTTCTGCTGTTCCTCAAATCTCTTTACTAAATTTGATACAAATTCTTCTATTTCTTGATGATATTGCCTGTATGAGAGGACAAAATGGTCAGAACCCAGACAGAGTGAAACATTTAATAGATTGAAGTTATATACATTATTGTAAGATGTCATGTGTAAATTTTGTTGTCAGAGGTTTATCAAATCACTGACTCTTTGTAACATACAAGAAACCATTAAGGAAAGATAGACATTGTTGCTGAGTTAAAAAAAATGATTATAATGTAACATAATGTTTGGCATGATAGCTGCCAGTTGTACACAGAGTAAGTGGACTTTATTTGTAAATTTTATGTACTTAGCTCCCTTCCTACTCTCTCTTAGTCACCTATTTCTGCAACACAAAGACAGCCAATGTACTCAGTTGCTCCACATCCTCCTCCCAAAGACTCTATACGCATATAAGGAAACACAAATATGAAACTGAAAAAAGCAAAAGCAAAATGTAATGTAGGAAAAAATACTGAAGTCTATTTTCTCTAGCCCTCTAGGACAAGAACCAAGTTCATGAGAAATTCTGTATTGCCTGGGTCAGGTATCAAAGTAGCCCAAGTCTTGTTAGGCTGCAACTAGCCAGCCACAAGATCTCAAACACAACTTCCTTTTGACAGACTTGACAATCTTTCACTTCTCTGCTAGCTATGACATTCTAAGATTTCTGCAGGTGAATGGTACAGCAATCAGTCTATCATGAGCTAGAGTACACAGGAAATCTAAGGGAAGGAGGGATAAAAGGCAATGGTGCCAGAGCCTAGCTGTGCCCAGTTCTTATATGCTGCTGCATTCACCATCCAGCTGCCCCACCTCCAGAGCCTTGGGTTCCACTTCTACTAAGATAAAGCAGGTTATTTTTATTTATTTATTTATTTATTTATTTTGGCCAGGCCAGGTTTGAACCCGCCACCTCTGGTATATGGGACTGGCACTCTACTCTTTGAGCCATAAGTGCTGCCCGATAAAGCAGGTTATGAGCCTGTCACTATTCCCTCTTACCTTCTTGATCCTGGTCAGCACAGATGATAACAATATGATTAAGTAATTTGGGAAGGGCTTGGTGCCTGTAGCATAGTGGCTACAGTGCCAGCCACATACACCAAGGCTGGAGGGTTTGAACCTGACCCAGGCCAGCTAAACAACAATGACAACTACAATAAAAAATAGCGAGGCGAAATAGCCTGTAGTCCCAGCTACTTGGGAGGCAGAGGCAAGAGAATCACTTAAGCCCAATAGTTTGAGGTTCCTGTAAGCTATGACGCCACAGCACTCTACCAAGGGTGACATGGTGAAACTGTCTCAAAAAAAAAAAGTAACTTGGGAAGGCAACTCTCTGAAGTATCTATTCTTCAAATTCTCCTTCAGGTTCTGAGGAATAAGGTAAGTCCTCAAACCATTTCCGAATACTCTAGCAAGCACCATAGGAATGCAAAGACTCACCTTAAACCCAAGGATGCTGGATGGCTTACAAGAGCCTGGTGTTGCTATTAAAAATAATAATCATAGGCTGGACATAGTAGTTCATAACTGTAATCCTAGTATTCTGGGAGGGTGAGGCAGATGGGCTGCTTGAGCTCAGGAGCTCGAGACCAGCCTCAGCAGAAGTGAGACCCTGTCTCTACTAAAAATAGAGAAAAAATGAGCTGGGCATAGTAGTACACACCTGTCCTAGCTACTTTAGGAAGCTGAAGCAAGAGGATTGCTCAAGCCCATGAGTTTGAGTTTGTTGTGAGCTATGATGCCATGGCACTTTGCCCAGGGCAACAGAGACTCTGTCTTGAAAAAAAAATCACGTGGGTAGGCTTTCAAGATTGCCAAAAGGAAAACTCAGTTGCCTGATTTTAGGAGAGATGTGACATTGTGGTGGACACCTACAGTCCTAGCTACTTGGGAGGCTGAGGCAAGAGAATCACGCTTAAGCCCAAGAATTTGAAGTTGCTGTAAGCTGTGATGCCATGGCACTCTACCAAGGGCGACATAGTGGAACTCTGTCTCAAAAAACCAAACAAATAACAAAAAAAAAAACCCCAAAAGTGGCTCGGCGCCTATAGCTCAACCGGCTAAGGCGCCAGCCACGTACACCTAAGGTGGC